TACTGCCTTCCCCTCCAAGCTACTGTGACAAGCTTTGCTGGAAACACACAGAAAGCTATAGAAGGTGTTCCCTGCAATTAGGGGACATAGAACAATGAATGGCAACTGACTCTATCTAAGAAAGGGTGGAAGTTAGAAAGACTGGTTAGGATTGGGCCATACTCCTAGAGTTTGGGGGACAAAGGAGGTGTGACCTATTCCTGTGGACCAGATGTAGGCCACTTGGGAGAAAAACAGTTGGAGTGTAGTCAGATCATCTTGGGTATTTCCACTGAGTGGCCAGGAGAAACTCCAGCAAGAAAAACTAGAGGGAAGTGCTGGCTTCTGAGGGCTATGAAAGGAATCATCCATGACCACTTAGACTAGAAATGCTTGAGTTAAGTGCCCTGCGACAGGGAGTGATAGAAATTTTCATGAAATGCCCAGGCCAAAAGGAGTCCTCTAGCATGAATGATGCCTCAGCAGAGGTGAGTCTGATCACTTTCCCCAACTCTTCAATGAGGGCCGGCCAGCAACTCAGTATAATTGCTTTAGGGCACCTGGCTATTCCCAGTTTCCTGGGTGTAGCCCAGGGATGGTGGCCTTTAGTGATTCAGTACTGTATGGACATTGCCATGAAGGTAAAAGGTGAATGGATGCTTTTAGCCTTGTTGTAGGAAGCCATGGTCATTTGTGCAGTCAAGTTAAGTTTGTGAGACATGCCTCCCCTCCCCCCACAAGTGGTAGACAGTACTTGGGTGAAGCCAGGGGCCAACCTGTGAGTGTGGCAGTGGTGAGACTGGGCCAACAGGCAGGTGGCAGTGGTGACTTAATGGCCCTGGCATTTGTGTGCTGGTTTGTATATTCATCTGTGTACCCTGAACACTTCTTGTTTTCTATTTTCTGTTTTCTCTCTCTGATTTTCATTTCTCTGGGTTTTTTTTTTTTTAATTAAAAAAAAATTTTTTTTTAACGTTTATTTATTTTTGAGACAGAGAGAGACACAGCATGAACAGGGGAGGTGCAGAGAGAGAGGGAGACACAGAATCTGAAACAGGCTCCAGGCTCTGAGCTGTCAGCACAGAGCCCGACGCGGGGCTCGAACTCACGGACTGTGAGATCATGACCTGAGCCGAAGTCGGACGCTCAACCGACCAAGCCACCCAGGCGCCCCTGTTTTTTTTTTTTAACTTGCCTTCCTATGGACTATGTGAACATTTTTTAGAATTCCATTTTGACTTTTCTGTAGTGATTTGGAGTATATCTCTTTGCATAGCTTTTTTAGTAGTTGCTGTAACAATTACCTTATATACACCTAACTTGTCAGTCTGTTGGTGTCATCATCTTACCAGTTTGAGTAATCTTAGGGAAGCCATAACTCCCTTTATGTCTCTTTACCCTTTCCTATTTATAATTGTCTTAAATATTTTATATTTGAGACATCAGTGTCATAACTTTTGCTGTACTTATCAAACATAATTTCAAAAACTCAAGAGAAGAAAAAGTCTATTGTATTTACCCATATTTTTGCTTACTGTGTTCCTCTTTGCTGATGTTCCAACGTTTCTTCTTTCACTGTTTCCTTTCTGTTTAGAGAACTTTGTTTAGACATTTTTAGTGTGGGTCTTCTGATGACTAATTTTCTTAGTTTTCCTTCACCGGAGAATATCTTGATTTCCCCTTCATTCCTGAAGGATATTTTTGCTCGGTATGGGACTCTGGAACTGAAAGTTCTTTCTTTTAATTTTTTTTTAACGTTTATTTATTTTTGACAGAGAGAGAGCATGAGTGGGGGAGGGGCAGAGAGAGAGGGAGACACAGAATCCAAAGCAGGTTCCAGGTTCTGAGCTGTCAGCACAGAGCGCGACGCGGGGCTCGAACTCACGGACCGCGAGATCATGACCTGAGCCAAAGTCGGACACTCAACCAAATGAACCACCCAGGCGTCCCTTAAAGTTTTTTCTTTTAAGAACTTGAACGGGCGCCTGGGTGGCTCAGTCGGTTGAGCGGCCGACTTTGCTCAGGTCATGATCTCGCGGTCCGTGAGTTCGAGCCCCGTGTCGGGCTCTGTGCTGACCACTCAGAACTGGAGCCTGTTTCAGATTATGTGTCTCCCTCTCTCTGACCCTCCCCTGTTCGTGCTGTGTCTCTCCCTGTCTCAAAAAATAAATAAAACGTTAAAAAAAAAAAAAAAGAACTTGAAAAACATTGTGCCACTTCCTTTTGGCCTTCATGATTTCTGATGACAATTCTACTGCTATACAAATTTTTTTTCTGTTATAGGTAAGGTGTCATTTTTCTCTGACTGCTTTTGAGAGCTTTCTTTGTCTTAAGTTTTCCAAAGGTTAATGATTATATGCCTTGGCATGGGTTTCTTTGAGTTTATCCTGTTGGAAATTTGCTAAGCTTCTTGAATCTGGAGGCATATGTCCCTTGCCAAATTTGGGATGTTTCCAATTACTATTTCTTTGAATAATTTTTCAGCCCCATCCTTTTTATTCTCTCCTGGGACTCTGATGACCCAAATGTTAGATCTTTTCTTATGATTCCACAAGTCCAAGGTTCTGTTCAGTTTTTCCAGTGAATGTTTTTTTCCCTCTGTTGTTCAGATTGGGTAATTTCTATTGTTCTATATTTTATGCCATTGTTTCTTTCCTATGTCACCCCCCCCCCCCCACTCCCATTATGCTATTGAGGCCATTGACTGAGATGTCTATTTTGGTTTTTGTATTTTCAGTTCTAAAATTTCCATTTGGTTCTTTATGTAGTCTGTTTCTTTGCTGAGACCTTCTCTTGTTGGCTGGAGATTTTCTAGTTTTCATTTGTTTTAAACATTTCTAATTGCTCATTGAAGCATTTTTGTCATGGCTACCTAAAAATCTTCTTCAGATAATTCTAACATCTCTGTTATCCTAGCGTTGACATTTATTGATTTTTTTTCATTCAGATTGAGATATTCTGGGCTTTTGGTATGATGAATGATTTTTTATTGATATCCAGACATTTTCATATTATGTTATGAGTCTCTCGATCTTATTCAAACCTTCTGTTTTGTCTGGCTTTTTAGGACACTGCTCTGGTAGGAGAAGGGGACTGACATCTTGTTACTGCCAGATGGATGTAGACATCCAGGTTCCTCACTCAGTTTCCAATGATACCCAAGGCAATGAGCCTTTTGTTACTGTGGGACAGAAATGGGAGTTCTGATTCTCTATGAGTTCTCCACCATCACTGTGCTGGAGGTGTCTTGCTTACCACAAGGCAGTGTGATGGTGAGATTCCTGACTCTACACTAGGCCTCTTAAGATAGCATCCTAGCAAGGAGATTGAGGGATGTCTCATTACTGCTGGGTGGGAATGGAAGTCAGACTCCCCACATGGTCTCCACTGACACTGTTGTACCACCCCAGCAGAGAGATTGGGTGTCTCATTACAGCCTCCCAAAGGTACAAGTCTAAGTTCCCCACTTGGAGTTTGCTGGTTTGAGAGGGGTTGAAGCATGTTTTTTTCCTTTGGTGCTTCCTTGAGGTAGAGGGTGTTTTGCCTAAAAACTGTTTTGCTACAAGGCCCATTTCCTGGTCCTTTCCGTTAAAGAGAACAGGCTTTTGATGAGGGTTTTTTTGTTTTTGTTTTTGTTTTGTCTGCAACTGTTTGGCATTTCTGAGCATTGCATGCTTCCTCAGCTCCATTTCTGAGTTGTATGAAACAAAAAGAAAACCCAGGGAGTTCACCACCATGCTGTTCCTTGGATCTCAAAGTCCTTTCTTCTCTCCATCTTTCAGAGTACTCTTATGTTTGTTTTATATTTTATGTCCAGGGTTTTCAGTTGTGCTTACTGGGAGCAATAGGGAAAAGTATATCTCCTCCATCTTCCTGGAAGCAGAAGTCACAGGTATCTTTTAAATGCTAATAAACACTTGGTGATTTGACTTGGGTTTATCATTTCCTCCCTTTCTACTCCTACCCTTCGCACAAAGACAAAAGAATAAAAGCACCAAATTAGTAATATATTTTTAATCAATTAATAATATAAATATATTTAATCAAAAGGCAGTTTAAAGAAAAAAGTAAATAAAATAAAGATATAATTTAAGATACATGTCTATCTACCCACATAGATATTTTTATACAAGTAATCACATGAAAGTTAGCAGATTAAAAAATATGTATACACTGATGCTGCAAATTGGTGAACCGTGGGTATCTTCTAGAGGCTCTCAGTCCTTGGGGTAGAAGCTGATAGTTACACTGGCCAAAAGTCCTGGGCAGAATCAAGAGTAATATGTTCCCTATTCTGCATGCAGGCAGTAGATCAGGGCACTTTGCCTTTTAGTTTCCTAATACACATATTCTTATCCATCTCTCTTCTAGGACAGACACAGCAGGGTAGTCAGACAGACAGATAAAACACATACTCACTGTGACACACTTGAACTACACTAAGAGAAAAGTGACTAAAAATGGTTTTAATATAAGAAAAGAGTATGTGAACAATTAATTAGGAAGCATGGTGGGGCGCCTGGGTGGCTCAGTCAGTTAAGCGTCCGACTTCAGCTCAGGTCATGATCTCGCAGTCCGTGAGTTCGAGCCCCATGTCAGGCTCTGTGCCGACAGCTCAGAGCCTGGAGCCTGTTTCAGATTCTGTGTCTCCCTCTCTCTCTGACCCTCCCCCATTCATGCTCTCTTTCTGTCTCAAAAATAAATAAACGTGAAAAAAAAATTAAAAAAATTAGGAAGCATGGTGTGGAACACCAGCATTTGTTGATATTATACTATGAATTGGATACTCTATACGTATTATCTCATTTAATTTTTAAAAATTTATTTTGAGAGACAAAGAGAGAGAGAGAAAGAGAGAGCATGAGTCAGGGAGGGGCAGAGAGAGAGGGACAGAGGATCTGAAGTGGGCTCCATGCTGATAGTAGACAGCCCAATGTGGGGCTCAAATTCACAAATCATGAGATCATGACCTGAGCCTAAATCAGATGCTCAACTGACTGAGCCACCCAGGTGCCCCCATCTCATTTAATTTTTAAAGGTTGGTATTATTACTCCCTTTTAACAAGTAAGTAAATTGAGGTTTAGAGAAGTTAAATAGCTTGCCTAAGACCACATCTAATAATTGCAAAGCCCAAATTCAGTTTGTTGGATTTGAAAATCTGCTTTGCTACCTATCTCTCATGGAAGAAGGTGGGATTCTGGGGAAAGTAGTGTTAGGAGATAAGGAAACAGAGATGCTTAATCAGTCTATGAAGTGACCACAGAGGACTGACTGATGTGGCTGGACTTCACTGCATTTTTCAGTCTCTTGTATTCTCACAACTGAGCTGTACGTTGTCCCAGAGTCTACAACCTTCTCTTCCTAGGATGCACTTTTATTTCAAGAGGAAAGTTTGGGCTGGTTCTGTTCTCTTCTTAGATTTAAAGGGAGTTGGCCGGGTCTTCTCTTCCTGAGCGTATATGACTAAGAGAGATGGGAGGGGGCCCACAGCACAGAAACTCATTGCCAAGAACATCTCAGGGTGGAGAGACCTCTGGAACATTTTTTCCACTCTGCATCAGACAGATTAGCATTTAATTGGTTTCAGCTGTTCTTAACATGCTGCCTAGAAAACTTCGATGTACTTTGCTAAATTCAATATTCCTTATGGCTAACAGATTAAAAGCCAAAAATACTCTTGAAGATCCTTGCTTTGGATCACACTGAGTTCTCTGCTATTGTTCACCCATTTGGAATGCTCTGGGAATGCTAAATAGTTTGGATTTTGTATAAAAAAAGAAACAAATTTGTCTGTTAGGACTCTTGGAATCAAGATATCTAGATCATAGTCCCAGCTTTTTCTGCATAGCCTGTGACTTCAGTAAACCTCTTCACCTCACTGGACTGCACTCATTTTCAATCTAGAAAATGAGGAGATTGAGCTCAACGATCTCAAAAGTTGCTTCCATATCTCAGGTTCTGTAATTGTTTTCATTGTTCTGATGTTACAGTACAATTCTGAAAATACAATGATATGATCGTTTCTAATTAAGAAGGGTGCAGGTCAGCAATGGCAAATTGCATCTTGGAACCCATTCAGGGAGGGGGTTCAAAGAACATAAAATGGATATGGCTTACTCAACAGGTATTTTACTCTTCAAAGGCCAAAGGACAAAAATGAAGGGCTGGGGAGATCTCTGTTTCATGGTGTGTTGTTGGGTAAGGACACTTCAGTCCCCACCCTTCATGTCTCCATCTATGAAATGCAAATAAGAACACCAACCCATTAATGCAAAAATTTTTAAGAGGTTTAATCAAAAGATGGGATGCAAATAGTGTGTATCAGACACTGAGGACCACAGCTGGGGTACAGCTACAGTAACTGCTCTTTTCTTAACCATCCCTCCTTGTTCTTCCCCACATTCCCTTAAATTGCTTATCCTCCAGCTTTTCTTTGCTTTTATTTCTTCTCCCTTGTTGAATCACCTTCATGGATCTTCTCTTTATCACTGCTAATTGATGACAGAGGTGGCACCTAGAGCAGTGGAAAGCTCAGAGAGGTTCTGCCCAGCTGTGTAGGACGACCTGAGGGGGAGCTTCTGAAGCACTGCTTGCCACTCACTCTACAGAAATTACAGGCCAGGCTTTACAGGGTCCCCAGCAGTTATTGCTACCTTATCACCCAATCTCAAATTAGCATTCAATTGACTAATTTTCAGGCTTAATCCTGAAGCCTGGGGGGACTCCCAACCCACCTCTGGCAGACCCAGGAGCTTCCTCACTTACCTCCAGGGCTTTGAGGCCAAATGTGGGTTTACTTGAGCTAGAGCAGAGAGAGAGAGAGAGAGAGAGAGAGAGAGAGAGAGATGTGAGGTATCTCTATTAAATGTCTTCTCCATCCTCTAAAGCTAAGGATCCCTCTATGCCTCCATGAAGGAATTAATGCCTGAAATAGCTCACATTGTTGGGCCCATAGCTGGTGGTGCTGCATTCATGGTCCAGGACCCATTTAGGGTCACAGGCTTTTCAAGGCCAAAGCAAATGCTAGCACCTCGGTGCAGGTACTAACATTGAAGAGCTGTCTGCTTTGGATGAGATGGTTCTCCAGGAGTTCATGCCTCGCATAGGTGGAGTAGATTTGTGTCAGCAACACACAGAGCTATGACATTGAAGGCAAGAGTAGATATTGAAAGTTGTAGGCTGCTTGTAAAATTTCATGAAGGGGACTGTATCAACATGGAAACTTCTTCCCTAGGGAAAAATCATGCACTGGCAGTCTAAAGTGTGGGAGAGAGTTTACTCTTGGTTATTGACTCACCTATTTGGGAATGTCAGCCTTACTAGATTGGAAAATGGATGAACAGTGTTCTTTTCTTCTGGAAATGTCACGTGTCCACCTGAGAGAGGAAGGAAGGCTTGTAGACAGCAAGGTTTGCCCAGTCCCATCTGGCAGGTTTTTGCCATACTTCGAGTAGGACTAGCCTGCACATGCTCTTCTCTATACGTGGTGGAACATTCTAGCTCTCTGAATAGCCGCAAGGGTATAGAACGAAACTGAGCCTATTGAGTGAGCCCACCAGTGCAGCAAGTCCCCAGTGTGTGCTGACCACTTACTTCCTCAGAACCCAGGTCTCACGTGATTATATGTAGAACACCTTACTGAATCTTTCCCTTGCAACTTGGAAATTAAACAGTATTTCAGGCATTATTTCTCTTAAGAGTTTACCCATGGTTGGAAATGTGAAGAGTCCATGGAATAAAAATGAAAACAAAAGAAGATGAAAGTTATTTGTAAACTCTAAAGTGCTGGTGCTGTTTATTTGTTGTTGCTATATAAACCCCATGGACGCTCCCCTGGTGGTCCCTATATTCTGTGTGCTGAGTCAGGGAACAGGGCCCTGTCAGCTGGTGACTTATATGCTCATATTCCCTGAGGAGAAGCCCAATCCTGTTCTTGTAGCCTGGCCAGCCTTGGCAGGAGGCCCAGGCTCATTAGGTCCTGATTGTGCTTTTCCTCCTCCAAGTCCTAGCGAGGCCCATGCACATTGACCCCAGGCACTTTCTCTCATTTTCCAACCTGGATTCACCTTCAGTTAAACACGGGTGATGGGAGATCACATAGTTTTCTTCTGTTTGATTATAAAGAGAGAACTTGAGGGAGCATGTATTCCTGTAGTCCCTCCCTGCTCCCCACACATTGCTCTGGCTCAGGTGTCAGAGAGGAGGGTGTGGTTGGAGTCATGCCCCAAGGCCCCCCAGCTCTCCCACACAGCCTCTATTTCTCCTTTGAGTCCCCTTCCCAGCCCTTCTGAAGGCTTCTCTTTCTTTCTCTGGCATCCTTTCAGTCTGAACTCATGTAAACTATTCATGAGCCAGGCAGCATTATCCGATTTTTATAAACTCCACGATAGAGGTTTGTAAGAAAGCAAGCCCTGGTTGTGAAAGAGACCATGGACATCAAGTTCTCATACTGCTGCTTTAGAAATAGGTTTTATTAAAAACTGATTAGAATTTTTCTGGGTAAGGACTGCTAAAAATATTAGGAACTGACTTGAAAACTCTACACTTCATTATGTTCATTTTCCCCAGTTTATTTGTTTACAGCCAGAAAATCTGACATATCTTAAGTTGCTTGCTTTTGCCATAGGCCATAAACTTAATTTTTAGCTGCTGCACCTTGGAAACCTAAGACACTTAGACCATTGTTATTTATATTCAGGAAAAATTTTTATTGTAATCAATCAGGTTTACTTTACCAGTAATTAGGTCAGCTGGGATAAATCTGCATCCCCCCCACCCTTTTTTAGTGGTGATTACATTATGAGAACTATTATATCCCATGATTATGCATTTGGATATTGTGCACTGACAAAAGAAAAACAATGAAATGAAATGAAATGAAACGTATAGGAGAAAACTCGATTCCCCTCTCCTCCCCATGCCCCTTTTTGGCTATTTGAACATAAACAGTTTTATTAATGTCCAGGGGAGTTTAAATTCTTCTTGTTAGGATGACTATTCTTTCCTAAGTGAAGATTTGTGCTCTGAAGTCATTGTATTCTTGGGCTTTGGTCCAAAGTGACTTCATTTTCTGCCTGCTGGGATTTCGGAGAGACTGCTAATGTAAGGGCAGCAGATTTGTGAGCCAAAGATGTCTTTTTTTTCTGACTCATGTTAAATAGGACTGAACTGTGTGTTAAGATACAGCAAGTTTCTCCAACATTTCAATTAAGTGTTGCAGAATTCTACTTGGCCCAACCATGGAGTTCATTAAAATGTACATTATAGATCTGATAAACTTAACAATAAATTGGCATTGGGAAGGCACAGGAACAACTACTAAAACTCTAAAAATAACAGTTCTCAGAGAACAGTTCTCAAACTCATATTAAACACATCAGAATTCATTTCAGCTGCATCAAAAAGCTGGCATGCAAGTCAGTCCAGGATTTTTTTTAATTGGTTTGAATAGAATGGCAAAATAATTCTAGGGTTTTGAGATGGAAATGAAGAGTTTACTATTCATGAGCCCATTTATTAAGAATGATGCAGCCATCTCAGCCAGGAACATCAAGCCTTGTAGAATTTGACACCACTGTGAAGCAGGTTAACACTCCAGGGAGAGTATGAGCTAGAAAAAACTGTCAGTTATAAGTTCTTTCTCTCTAGTCAGTTACTCCAGCCTTCTGGAAGAAGAAAAGTTTCAGAAGTCACCTTAAAAGATAATCCAAGATATACAGAAACAATTTTTGTAGAAGGGTGTTTATTGCAACATTATTTATCATAGTGAGAAACTGGAAACAGCCAAAGAGCCAGAAAGGGGATTGGTTAAACAAACTATGGTACAGTTACACTACTGTAATACTACACAATCATAAAATAATGTTATGTTGTAATTTTAAAACTCAGAAGAAAATTTTATGATTAATATTTTTTTTTCAGTTTATTTATTTATTTTGAGAGAGACAGCATGAGCAGGGGAGGGCAGAGAGAGAATCCCGATGCAGGGCTCAAACTCACCAACTGAGATCATGACCTGAGCTGAAATCAAGAAGAGTTGGAGGCTCAACCAACTGAGCCACCCAGGCGCCCTAGAAAATTTTATGGATATATTAAGCTACTTTTTATATATGGAGAGAAAAAAAAAAGTAGGCTAAAAAAATAGTAGATTCCAAAAGTTAATCGTGGCTGTCTCTAGGGCAATGCCAAAAAAGCTGAATTTTTCTCTCTGCCCTTTTCTATAAATCCTTTGTAATCAAAGAAAAGAGAAATAAATGCCACAAAAATATATTTTGTTTGCAAAATCTGCCAAGAGATGGTGAATCTTTTAATCTCTTATTTTTAAACTAGAACTCTCAAATTATGTGGCTTTTTAGAGATTCATCTACTTTTGTATTTCTCATCAATGTTTAAAAATATCTGTCATTTCCTATCATATTTGGAAGTTTTCTGCTCTCCATTTACACAATGCCCTGGGGAAATTAAATTTGACCTTGTCAAAGTCATCAGAAAAGCCTTAATCTCGTTTCTGTGTGAAACCTCTTTAAAAGTTGTTAGGTGGTGTGAATAGGCTGTTAGATTGGTCAAGAGGCCACCAGCACTGAAATAAAATGGTTTTTTATCACTGCAAAAACCTCCATGGATAAACTCCACCCTCAAAGCAACATACAAACCCCAGAAACTCAAAAGAAGACATATATGCTAAGCCAGAGTGCTCCTGCATGCAGAGCACAGATGAAACCACTTGTTTGAAGATGCAGGATTGAGGCTTCAATCCATAAGACCGATCTGGGTGAACATCAGGCCTTAGGTTAAACCACTCTTGTATGGGAGGATCCCTGTGCACAATTTCACAGCACAATGTGAATGACTCTTGGTTAGATGGGAAATCCTACTAAGCCCTATTATCCAAGATTGTCGGGAAACTACAGTGTTACTGTATTAGCTGCTCTTGATTTGAGACACATGTGTCAAAAAAAACTACTCAATCCCCACCCCCACCCCCCCAAACAGCACAAAGAGGGGCATTCTAAAATCACGACTCAGCAATACTTAGTCCTCAGTGCTCCTCCCACCACAGCTGTCTGCCCAGGACCTGTGGTGGCGCGTCATGTTTCATGTTTCCTACCTCCACGTTGCACTCCAACATGCAAAAAGGATGATGGAGCAGCATTTCTCTGTGCTTCCAGCCGTAGGTTGCCCTGGTTGCATGCTCTAGGGAAGGAGACAGCAGAAACTCCAGGCCACAGAGGCATGGCAGGGTGGCGTGGAGTGGTGGGGTACAGGAGGATGCAGTGGCCGGGTGCCCCTACCATGGGGATAAGGAGATCTAGGTCAGAGGAGCGGACGAGTAAAGTGAGGAAGAACAGAGGGTGACTAGAGAGGGGGTTAATAACGTGGGCAAGGTTGGGGCACCAAGCAGCGCAGAGGTGGGGAGGAGAGTGGGTGGGTGGCCCCGGGGCAGGGGGCGGGGTGAAGAACTGCTAGACGGTCAGGTGGGAGGTTTGGTGGGTAAAGTAGAGGTTCTTTGGACAGGGATCTGTGGATTATAGTTTTAGTTTTGTGTGTTTGAAAAATATGTTTATTTTTCTCCATCACTCAAATGGTGGTTTAGCTGGATAGATCAGTCTAAGTTGAGAGTTTTGTTCATCCAGTTTTGTTCACCTTGAAGCTGCTTTTTCCATCATTTTGTGGCATTTAATGTTGCTTCTGAGAAATCTGGTAGTATTCTGTGTGTGTGTGTGTGTGTGTGTGTGTGTGTGTGTGTGTGTAAGAGAGAGAGAGAGAGAGAGAGAGAGAGGGAGAGAGGGAGGGAGAGAGAAAGAGAGAGAGGGAGAGAATCTGTATTTTCTTTCTGGCACGTTAAGATTTCCTTTTATTCTTTATGGTCTAAGTCTCATTACAAGGTGGGAATTTATTTTTATTTATCCTTTTGTCACCAAGAGCAAACTTTCAATCTGATGACCTATGGCTTTCTTTCCCTCTGGGGAATTCTTAGCCATTGCTTTATGCAAAGCAACTTACATGGCTTCTCTGTCATTCTTCCCATTCTCTTTTTTTGGGGTCTCATGTTGTATTACATGCATGTAATCACTCTTTTGTATATCTAAACTCTCTGTCTCTCTGTTGAACTTGGGGTGAGCACCTTAGGTTTGATCTTGCCAGTCACCGGTGCTTCCTTCACTGAGTCTAAAGGTCATTACACCTATTAAGTCGTTTTTAAAATTCCAAGGGCTACCTTTTCATTTTCAAGAGTTCTATTGGTTATTTTGCACACCTATCTATTCTTGCTTCATTTATGCCTCATTTTGTTCCGTATGGCTTTTTATAACTGTTAGTCTCTTATCTCTTTCAGCTTCCTTGTTTTATTTTATTTTATTTTTTTTTAAATTTTTTTTTCAACGTTTATTTATTTTTGGGACAGAGAGAGACAGAGCATGAACGGGGGAGGGGCAGAGAGAGGGAGACACAGAATCGGAAGCGGGCTCCAGGCTCTGAGCCATCAGCCCAGAGCCTGACGCAGGGCTCGAACTCACAGACCGCGAGATCGTGACCTGGCTGAAGTCGGACGCTTAACCGACTGCGCCACCCAGGCGCCCCCAGCTTCCTTGTTTTAAACAATTTGTTATGCTATCCATTAAAATTAATTTTTTTCTGCAGAGAATTCATGTTCTGATTTAATGCTTTATTGACTGTATGTTTTTAGGTTAGGATTTCATGGATTTTAGAATTTTGATCTGCAAGCTTATTTTGAATTGGAATATTTTTACTGTTGTTTGTTTTTAATCTGCTTTCCCCCCCCCCTCTTCTATTTCTCTAAATCCATTTGGTTTTATAGTTGTCTCTTTACTTGGCCCCCTGGAATTCCATTTCAGAACCAGCTGCTATAAAGGCAGGTCAAGGCTCTTGGCCAAAGTGATGTCAGAGATAACTTGGGTCCAGTCACTGGGCCAACACATGGCTTGGTTCTTTTCCTGGTTTCATGACTAGATGGCTTTTCATCGCCCCAGGTACACAGACTCTCCTAACTCATACACAGCTCAGGCAGTCTCTCTCAGTTGGTCACCCCAATTTAGGTCCCT